GGCGAAAGTTCAAATCTAAGGTCGTAGGGTTGCCACCCGTACCAGGCCTCTATCACTCTTGCTACCTACGTGAAATAATTATGTACCTAAAATCGCGACGCGCCCGGGGTAAATAACGCAGTCAGGGATAGGCTAGCGCGTTGGAGGCGATTGAATGTTAAAGTTTTTTGACGCTGTTAACGTATATAACTTTTTGTAAATATTGTTGAAATGGTTTTTGTTTAGTGTTTAGTATATTTAATTATATGATAAAATAGTTTAAAAGTTTAATGTAATTTAAGAATTATATATTATGTATACTACCCATTATTTAATAAATTTTAATATGGCAAAACGTTGTTCTTACTATAATTGTTGCGTGGATAGACGCTAAATGACCAACAAAATATTTCAAATATATCACTCCTTATTACCGGAGGATTTTAGTAGGAAGTTATGAAACGTGAATTTATTTAATTTTTATTGTTAGATAGGTTCTTATAGCAAAAAAGAATTAAGTAATAATTTATCTAATATCTACGAACTTTATTACAAAATTTAGTTGAAATTTACTTCACTATCCAAGTATCTACTTACATACATATACTGGCGTTTTGTATTAAAATATTTTAAGCTAAAATAACACAAAACACTGAAATCAAAACTTTGTTTAGTAACAAAATTTTAAATAAGTAGAATACGATTACATTTCTGTAACGAATCGTATTTCCAGTTTATTTGTTGTTTACACTATCTACCTTTTTCTTCCGAGCCAAGCATCGCGATTCCCAACGAATTTCCTGGAGCAAGTTCCATGGGTTAGGCATCGCAGAACTCACGTAGGTGCGAAAATATGGTCAGTCGATCATAGTCAGAATAGGTATTTCACCTATGTAACTTAATTAATATTTCGCAATGTATTTTGTTACTCTTTATTGACATCCCTTCGTAACAACGGAAAGTCCGCCGTAACGTAGAAATAGGAAAAGGTGCAAAGTAATACGGAGACTCTCGCGCAGCGATAAAGTTTTATTTAGCTTGCGAGCGCGATTTATCTAATTAATAATAATTATGTAGGCTATTAAACGTCGGCAAGCAGCCAACATCAAAAGAGTGAAACTTCTGTACGTAGTGCTATTATTTATTCTGTGCCCGTACTATAATATATAGTATCGTACTATATAATATAATGTCCTCCGAACCGACGAAGTCGAGTCCGACCGAACTTCGGTCACGGTGGCCTGCCTCAACGGAGACTAGCCATCGGCGCAGGATAGGATTATAGTGCCCAAGAGTACGCGCAAGCACAGGTGCACTCTCTATTCCCTCTCTAATCCGATGGAACGGTAAACCGACACGACCGAAGAGAGATCAGGCGCAGGACCAACGGCTTCACGTGCTTTTCCGAGGCACGGGGGTGAGACACCGTCAACTTCCTGATTCCGGGCAGCAACTGAAAATTTCTTAACGGAAAAACTCAATAATTGATTTTTTGGCCCAACCCGGGATTCGAACCCACCACTAGACCATCGAGTCAGGCACTATGTATGCCACTATATATTATAGATAAATAATATAGTACATATTCTCCCTAAGTAGTATCGCGTCAGTTGAATTATGTTATACCTAATTCAACTGACGCGATTTTTATGTTAACTGTGAACTGTATCTGAAACAAGTATTATGAAAAAAAATTTTTCCTTCGTGAATGTAAAATTAAAAGAAGAAAAAAAGAGCATGTATTAGTTTAATTAAAATTAATTGTTAATCTGTTTTAATATGAATCTAAATTGCTCAGACCTATAATTATTTTATAGGTCAGGTGGTTAGATCATTGACCGTCAAAGCAAAGAGCAATAACAAATATATATGGAAAAATACATAAAGACTAGCTTGTCAGGCAGACGTTATTCTGCCCTTTTCGACGACCTTTTCTCATGTCTTTTCTTTCTTTCTCTGTCAAAAAAATGTGGGCCACTCATGGGCAAAAAAACTATCCTACCTCTCAAGTTGGAACAAACTGTACACGGTGTGCAAATTTGATTAAAATCGGTTAAGTGGTTCACGTTATTTGTCCATCGCGGACAAACAACGTGACACGTAATTTATATATATTGAGATTAAAAATAAACGTGTACTTTTTTCTATTGAATTTCTCAAAAGTACAATATTTTTTAATTTTTTGGGAAAAATATTATATTTGTTAAAAAAAATGTGGCAACCCTGGGTCGAACCAAAATTTGGTTTTTTTAAGAAATTCTCACTACCAGCCCGGGAATCAGGAAGTTAGCGGTGTTTTGCCCCCGTGCCTTGAAACGTACGTAAAGCCGCTGGTCCTGCGCCTCATCTCTGGTCGTGTCGAATTTGCCGTCTCATCGGACTATGAGCATGGTAGAATAGAGAGAGCACTCTCCTCTCTCTATAGGTCTAGCAATCTCCCTCACCTTCGACACCTCTCCTATGCAGGAGTCCTAAAACTTATTAAAATATTATGAGCGATTAAAGCGTATCCTGCTAAAGGAGAGGCCAATCCTAACTATGGCGTTTTGCAAGCAGGTAAAGAATGGTCAATGAAAAACCACACCAGACAAAACCTTTCGTTAGAAAAAGATGGATATAAATTATTAGTTACGCATTGATTGCTACTGAGCGCTCATTGGCGCGTCTGAGAGCGAGTAATTACCTGCCTTTCGTATAGCCATTCTGGAGCGAGTACGACGACTCACTGGCCCATGCTGTAAAGGACAAAGCCGATCTGCTGGGCTTTCTCTTTGCGTCCAACTCGACTCTTGATGACGAGGGGAACACACCGCCGACCATCCAGCGGTGTGAGTGCTCCATGCAGGATGTGCTGTTTACCCAACGATCGGCGCGCAGAGCACTCCTCTCCCTAGATGTCAACAAGTCGAGTGGGCCTGGTGGTGTCCCTCCTATTATGCTGAAGACGTGTACTCCGGAATTGGCACCGGTTTTAACGCTTCTTTTCCGGTACTCCTACTCCCTAGGCGTAGTCATGGAAGACAGCCTTCGTGCACCCGATCCCTAAAAAGGTAACCGCTCTGATTCGTCTAACTATAGGCCTATCGCCATCACCTCCTTGTTCTCTAAAATAATAGAATACAACATTAACAGCCAACTCATGCGGTACCTTGAGGATTACCAGCTGATTAGTGTCCGCCAGTTCGGTTTCCGTCGCGGTCGCTCGGCTGGTGATATTCTGGGTTACCTAACTCATAAATGGGCGGAGGCAGTAGAGTCCAAGCAGGAGACGTTGGGCGTTAGTTTGGACATAGCGAAGGCCGTCGATCGGGTTTGGCACAAAGCGCTTCTTACGAAACTTACTTCCTATGGGCTTCCCGAGAAATTATGCAATTGGATCACCAGTTTTCTTGCAGATCGGAGCATCAAGGTCGTAGTAGACGGTGCATGCTCCGATTACAAGCCCATTAACGCTGGTGTTCCACAAAGCTGCGTGCCACCAACGCTTTTTCTTCTGCATATCAATGACATATTGCAAACTGATACCATTCATTGCTGTGCAGACGACATCACTGGTGATGCTTTATACACCGGCCGTGTCAATATTTCTCAGGAAAACGTCGCCGAGTACCGGGACAAACTTGTGTTTGAAGTCGAGACTTTGTTATCCAAAGTCTTGGATTGGAGGCGACTAAATCTAGTCTAGTTTAATCCCCAAAAGACACGAGCTTGCGCGTTTACCGCTAAAAAGAACCTCTACGTCGTATCTCCTCAGTTTCAAGGCACTCCCCATGTTGCCTCAGCCAGTATCTGCTCACTTGGAAGAGAAGGCCAAAATGCCCTCTAAAAAGCTTGGCGTGCTCAGCAAAGCGGGACAGTATTTCGTGCCCGCTCACCGCCTGCAACTTTACAAGGCGCAGGTTCGGCTGCACATGAAATACTGCTCCCATCTCCGGGCGGGGGCTCCCCAGTGCCAGCTCCTTCCTTTTGATCCAGCGGAGAGCAGTTCGAATCGACGGCGACCGAGCTCTTTCCGAATCGGCTTGACTCACTGGCACTTTGCGTATTTTATCGCATTTACCACGGGGAGAGCTCTGAGGAATTCCAGCCGCACAATTTCACCATCGCAGATCGCGACAAAACTCGCGATACTATCCATACCATCTGGATGACTGGCGGTCCACTACCATGCGTTTTAAAAGAAGTTTTCTTCCTCGCACAACTTCCTTATGGAATCGACTACCTTCAGAGATTTTTCCGGACCGATACGACTTAGGTACCTTCAAGAAAAGAGCCTCCTCCTTTTTTAAGGCCGGCAACGCATTTGCAATTCCCCTGGTGTTGCAGTTGCTCATGGGCGGCGGTAATCACTTACCATCAGGTGAGCCGTATGCTCGTGTAGGGGTGCACACGAGCATATGAAATGCTTTTTATTTTTTATTTCTTCTGCTTACATGAAAAAAAAAATATAATATAATTATTATTATAAGGCGTTACTTTGCGGAAATCCGTTATATTAATGATGTTAAAAATTTAATCACTAAGAACAAATTAGTAAATTCCTAGTGTAGTGGTGCTGGATTTAGTGGTGACGGGGATAGTGCACGCTAATGAGGGAGGGCGGGAGATGCTCAACAAACTAGATAAGACACATTTATTTTTATTATATATATATATATATATATATATATATATATATATATATATATATATATATATATATATATCTAGCTTGCCAGGCAGACGTTGTTCTGCCCTTTTCGACAACCCTTTGCCATGTCCTATTAAAAATCCTGAAATTCGCAAAAAAAAAATTTGTGCCTCGCTCATGGGCAAAAAACTATTCTATCTTCAAGTTGGAAACTGCACACGGTGTGAAATTTGATTATCGGTTTAAGTAGATTAGGAGTCCAGCGCGGACAAACAACGTGACACGTAATTTACATACATATATTAAGATCATATTATTATTATACATACATACTGGTACATACAGGAGAAGCTAATATGGAGGGTGTGATAAAAAACTCAATTTCTTCCAGGGGTCTGGTCCCATTGCACAACGCCTGCTCGTACGGCCACTTCGAGGTGACTGAGCTGCTGGTGTCCGCCGGCGCTGGTGTGAATGCGGCCGACTTGTGGAGGTTCACGCCTTTACACGAGGCGGCCGCTAAGGGGAAGGCGGATATTGTTCGGCTACTCTTGAAGGTAGGTAGGAAGAAAAGTTAAGATTAACCGCTGGACGAGGAGCGAAGTACGAGGAGCGACCAACGTGTTTTATTCTTTGCATGAGGGTGATAAACAAGCACACAGTGCACCTGATGGTAAGTGGATGCTAATGCCCATAGACATGCTGGTAAATTTAAAAAAAAATACTTGAAAGTCACTTTTTATAGAATAAGCATTATTTATAATCTATATTGAATAAAATAGATTATAAATTAACTGCCTCGTTGGTCTAGTGGTTGTACTTGTGCGACTGTCGATCATGAGGTCCTGGGTTCGAATCCCCCGGGTCGGGCCAAAAAATCAGTTATTGAGTTTTTCTGTCAAGAAATTCTCAGTAGCTGCCCGGAGTCAGGAAGTTGGCGGTGTCTCACCCCCTTGCCTCGAAAAGCACGTAAAGCCGTTGGTCTTGCGCCTGATCTCTCTCCGATCGTGTCGGTTTACCGTCCCATCGGACTACGAGAGTGAGGGAATAGAGAGTGCACCTGTGCTTGCGCATACACTCGGGCACTACAATCCTGTCCTGCGCCGATGGCTAGCATCCGTTGAGGCAGGCCGCTGTGGCCGAAATTCGGTCTGGAGGACATTATTATTATTATTATATTGAATAAAAAAGTTTCCGTTTCTGTTTCATCTTCATCGAATGAAGAATCAAAATATAGATGCATTGTAACCTTAGGACTAAGATGGAATGCTTCTTTTTCAGTTAAAAGATTCTCCGGTTCTCTACACTCGCCATACGAAACACAGCAGCGTTGCGCTGCTATTTCACACTGGTATTCTATGAGAACGTGGTCCTTTCTCGCCATTGATGTTAACATCAATGGCGAGTACATCACTCACCTTCGATTTGCCGACGATATAGTCCTTATGGCAGAATCGCTGGAGCACTTAAGCACTATGCTCAATGACCTCAATAGTGCCTCCCAACGGATAGGTCTTAAGATGAACATGGACAAAACAAAGATCATGTTTAATGTCCATGTCACACCTATGCCGGTAGTTGTTGGGAGCACTATGCTCGAAGTTGTTGACGAGTACGTTTACCTGGGACAAATAGTCCGACTAGGTAAGTCCAACTTCGACCGAGAGGTCAATTGACGGATTCAACTCGGCTGGGCAGCGTTCGGGAAATTACGACACATCTTCTCTTCAGGTATACCTCAATCTCTGAAAACTAAAGTGTACAACCAGTGCGTGTTGCCAGTGATGACTTACGGATCAGAGACGTGGTCCTTCACTGCTGGCCGTCTGAGGACGCTCAAGGTCGCTCAGCGAGCTATGGAGAGGGCTGTGCTCGGAGTTTCTCTGCGTGATAGACTCAGAAATGAGGATATCCGCAGTAAAACCAGAGTGACCGACATAGCCCAACGGATTAGTAAGCTGAAGTGGCAATGGGCCGGCCTTATAGCTCGAAGAACCGATAACCGATGGGGAAGAAAGGTTCTCGAGTGGCAGCCTCGTACCGGTAGGCGTAGTGTAGGGCGACCCCCCACTAGATGGAGTGACGACCTGGTAAGATATGCAGGAAGTCGATGGATGCAGGTGGCTCAGGACCGTGCTTTGTGGCATTACTTGGGGGAGGCCTATGTTCAGCAGTGGACTTGTGAAGGGCTGTGATGATGATGATGATGTGGTCCTTTCAACTATCACGTATGTATAACATTGTGCATTCATTAAATTATTTTTTTCCAAACAGCACGGAGCTGATCCAACGAGAAGAAACCGCGACGGCCTGACGCCGCTGCAGCTTGTGAGAGCCGGTGACAGCGACACCGCCGACGCTCTGAGAGGGGATGCTGCTCTGCTGGATGCTGCGAAGAGAGGCGACCTGGCTCGAGCGAAGTAAGTTTCTCACAGTGATGCTAAGTGAGAACTGGAACGTTATGTTTTACTATTTGTGCTCTTTTTCCCTACCTCTCTCCCCCACTCTCCCTCTCTCCCTCTCTATCTCTCCTCTCTGCCCCCCTCTCTCTCCCCTTTCTCTTCCTTTCTCTTTCTCTCCCTCTCTCTCTCCCTCCCTCTCTCCCTCTATTGGCTGCGGTGGTTTACCTTTTCATAAATCCACCTCTTGCTACCTCTAGACAATATATCGTTCTTTACTTGTTATCCTGAAATTTAACTCACCCAAATCTTCTCCTTATCTTATATATACAATTCAATTGCTATCCGTTAGTCTCGCAAAAACTCGAAATTAGATGAATTTTTTTTGTGTATTTTAGACCCGGTAGGTGGCGCTGCTGTCAAGATTCGGAAATTACCCGCGCATAGCCAGGGCGGATCGCCAGTCATAAATATAAAAAGGGGCCCAGTTTGGTGCATACGACTATCCGATCATCTATGGAACAAGAGTCGGGATCTGAACGGGTGCCAAGATCTAACTATATATAGCACCTATACCTGTTCAATTTGATGGTCTGAGCAACCCCACTAGGAGGTTTGCGTTTAATATGTTACACCTTTTATATATCTATATTCTATATACTCGTTTTGGGTGCCTCAAGGCAGTGTATTAGGGCCAACCCTATTTTTGATATAAATATCAATAACCTCTGCAATCTCAAACTTAACTCAGGTAAAATAATATTTTATGCAGATGATACCGTGCTCCAATATTCCGCAAATACATACGGAAGACCAGGTTTATTTATGTGCACAGCACAGTTTTGATAAGGTTTAATAAATGGCTCCGCCAAAACGTTCTATGCGCATTCTCATTTTTCTATGCGCAGCAGCTTAAATTCAAGTGTCCCAATGTAATTGTTTTACTGCCTCTTTGGTTGTGCATGCGTATGTTGATTATGAGGTCTTGGTTTCGAAATTTCCAAATTTATTTATTGTGGTTTTCTATTAAGAAATTCTCTCTATAAGAGAGTAGCTACCCGAAGTCAGGAAGTTGGAGGTGTTTCACCCCTAGTGCCTGAGAAAGCACCTAAAGTTGTTGGTCCTGCGCCTGATCTCTCTTCGGTCATGTCAGATTGCCGTCCCATCCAAATATGAAGGTGCGAAGCACTTTAATCCTGTTCTATCCGCTCCTGGCCAAAATTCCGCCTGTAGGATATTATGGCTGTAGCATCTCGACTAGGGAAGGAACACGTTCGCACAGAACACCAATGTGAAGTAGCGGGCATCATGATGCTATGTTTCGTAGTGTGATGATGACTGGAAATAATTTTCACTGATAACGAGGCATTTCATCAAATTGAGGATTTGTAGATGTATTTGTCTCAATAAAAATCTATTTGTGTGTATTTCGCAGGAAACTAATCACACCGCAAAATGTGAACTGCAGGGACTCACACGGAAGGAACTCGACGCCACTCCATCTTGCTGGTAAGTGTTTCTGTAGATAAAGTTTATTATCTTTACTTTACACTATGTGTAAAATTAAATAGCTGAAATCGGAGTACATTTATTTATGAAATATATTTATATATTTTCACACTGTTTCATAAATATAAAAACAAGCTGTAACAAACGCCCTATTTCACCTCCTCAGGGGTTGAATTTTACGAAATCCTTTCTTAGTGATTGTCTACGTCGAGAATAGAGTTGTTTACTTATATGTGAAATTTCAAGTCAATTGGGTGTATAGTTTTGGAGATCTTGAGATGAGTGAGTATCTATAATATACATATATATATATATACATATATATATATATATATATATATATATATATATACATATATATATACTCATTAATTTCAATATATTATATTCTTACGAGCTTAGGGTTCGTGACAATAAAATATTTCCGATAGAATTACCAAAATTACCACTTTAATTCACTTTACACTAATTAAAACTTAAAAGATAATAATAATTAATCACACTGATTCACTTTATTTCGCTCCGAAGCTTCGCTTGTCTCGCCAAATTCAATACTGCCCCGATCGCGGCATGCAGCGGATTTAAATACACTTTTACGCCGAAACATCCAGAATATTCCCGTAGATACGGGCGCCGACCGACCAGACGCAGAAAGTTCGAGTGTGAGGCTTCTAGAAAGCTTAGTTCTTCAATTCGATACTAGATGGCGCTGTTGGTTAAAAGATTAGTCATGTCATTTTCTGGAAAGCTCTCCTCGCTCTGTTACCCGACACTAGATGGCGCTAGTGCCAGACGTCAACTTAGGCGCTCAACAATAATGTAAAGTATATTTATATATATCTACATAGTATAAAACAAAGTCGCTTCTCGTCGTCAGTACGCTTAGATCTTTTAAACTACGCAACGGATTTTGTTGCGGTTTTCATCATTAGACAGAATGATTCTAGAGGAAAGTTTATATGTATAATATGTGTTATTGAAATTCAAAAATCACCCGTGCGAAACGTGGGTGGATTGCTAGTATTATATAAAAATAAATTGCAGCCGTTGATCTCGCTAAACTTCATAAACGGCTGGAGTGAGGTGGAATGCCTCCCAGAATGAAGTAATACTGGTTCTTTATACCCTTCGAATTATTATACAGCAATGCACGCCAAGGGAGTTGCCAACGGGGTTGCCAAGTGGTGGCAGGGAGGTGCAGCTGCCCCTTCCCCCTCCTGGAGACTTAAAAAGATGTAGTCAAATGTAGAGCAACCAGTCTTATTTATTGTACAGTCAAGAGCTCCTGAAGCTTTACACATTGGTATTTGTACAGTTCTTATTACAATTGCCGTAGAGGTCAGACCTGCATTACCAGAGTAAAACTTCATCTGCTCTCGTACCTACACTCCCGTATTGTATATATCAACTTGACCCCTCCTCCTGGGCCATCTGCTGGACGTCCTTGGTGCTCGCACTGTAATTTGGCGACAGAAATAGATAGGGTCTCGTCCTACTCCGACGGATTCCTATGCAGAAAAATGTTGTAATCTTGTAATTTATTGGGTTACTTCTAGGACGCGATGTAACTGGAATTATAAAAAGAGGGAAAGTAAGTCACTCAACAAAAAAGGGTGCAGAAACGTTGTTGACTGAGGTACAATGTTTCTTTCACAGCATATTAATGTGATATTATAGTCCGCACATACGCGATATCAGTGACAATATTCATATTTAGTAAGTTAGTAGCATTGGGCTGGTCATGTAGCTTGAAAATCTGACAACTGATAGAGGCGAACTAGGTGGTCCCACACGTGGTGAAGTGACGACCTGGTAAGACATCCAGGAAGTCGATCGATGTAGGTGGCTCAGAACCGTGCTTTTAGCTTTCCTAGGGACAGGGTAATCTTTAGCAGTGAATTTGTGAAGGGTCGTAATTGAATAATCATCATCATCACAGCCCTTTACAAGTCCACTCGTTAACATTAGTCTCCCCCAAGAAATGTCACAAAGCACGGTCCTGAGCCATTTGCATTTACCAACTTTCTGCATTTCTTACCGTGTTGCACTCCATCTACTGGGGGGCCGCTTTACACTTCGTTTACCGGTATGAGGTTGCCACTCGTGGATTTTTCTTCCATATTGATTGTCGGTTCTTCGAGCTATATGGCCGGCCCATTGCCACTTCAGCTTGCCAATCCGTTGGGCTATGTCGGTTGCTCTGGACAGTATATGGAATAATAGATTGATGTAATTAACAACGGTATTGCGCGTGTGGTTGGCTTTGTGGCTGTCTGACGATGTGCACCCCTGCAGCCGGCTACAACAACCTGGAGGTAGCGGAGGCGCTGCTGGCGGGTGGCGCGGCGGTGGCGGCGCGCGACAAGGGCGGGCTGGTGCCGCTGCACAACGCGGCGTCGTACGGGCACCTGGAGCTGGCGGCGCTGCTGCTGCGCGCCGGCACGCCGCCCAACGCCGCCGACCGCTGGGGCTTCACGCCGCTGCACGAGGCGGCGCACAAGGCGCGCACGCAGCTCTGCGCGCTGCTCGTGAGTGCCAACACTCCTCATTCACCACCCCCCAACTCGCTACTCGCAAACTACACGCCATACTTAATACTGGCCTCCCCTTGTATGAACAACTTATTTCGAATTAAGTACTTGGCAACTCCCTCCTTGCCAAATACTCAAAAACACTTTTACCGAATAAGTAAACTACCTATGTGCCTGATTCTCAGTGAACCTCCTCGCCAATTACTCAGCAACTCACTCCTCGACAAGTTATTTATCATCTCCTATCTTGCTAAAAACCCAGAAATTAACTTCTCACAATGTATTCAGCATTTTTCTTCTCGCTAAATATTAGCAACTCTCTCCTCGTGAAGTACTCAGCAACTCTGCTTGCTAAGTACTCCGCAACTTTCTATTCGCCAAGTAATAGCAACTTTCTCCCCGCTAAATATTAGCAACTCTCTCCTCGTGGAGTACTCGGCAACTCTGCGTGCCAAGTACTCCGCAACTTTCTATTCGTCAAGTAATAGCAACTTTCTCCCTGCTAAATATTAGCAACTCTCTCCTCGTGAAGTACTCAGCAACTTTGCTTGCCCAGTGCTCCGCAACTTTCTATTCGCCAAGTACTAGCAATTTTCATCTTACCGTGTACTCAGCAACTCCCTTCTCGCTTAATACTCAGGTTTCTCACCGCCAAGTACTCATCCTTCTCCCCGTCAAGTATTAGTAACTCTCACTTTGCTAAATACTCAGCAGTCCCCTCCGCCAGTAACTAACAACTCTCTTTTCGCCAAAGACTCAGCAACTCTCACCTTGTGATCCAAATACTTTGCAATTTTCCCCTTTCCAACTTCCTTTTTACAAAATACTTGCCAACTGTCTTTGTGCCACGTACTTATCAACTCTCTCCTCGCAATGAACTCATTAACTTCTTGTCAAGTACTCAGCAATTCCTGCCTCGCCAATGACCAGCGACTTAATTCTCGCCTTAGGCTCAATAATTCTCTCCCTCGTCCAATAATAGCAACTCTCTTTTTGCCATATATTCAGCAACTTCCTTCTGGTCAAGTAGACCGGATTCGGTAGGCTAGAAGTCTGTGTGCGAGACGATTCGTAATTCATAAAACGAATAAATACGTGTAACTAATGTTGAACCGTTTTATAGACCAAACATCATAGACTGGGGTGGTGTCTACAATTACTTCTAAATGTAGACCTCCCCAATCGTTTGCCTCATAAAGGGGGATATTTACCATAATTGCATTGAAATTTCAAAATAAAAACTGCTGTCGCCCCTTTTACGCGCACGTAACGATATCGAATAGTGGATATTCATTCACCGTCCTCTACATTCCACCTTCGGTCATTACTAATAACAACAGTAAATATTTGATCAATGTGAGGCAAGCTATGGGGAAGTCTGAACACGGGCAGCAGCGGACTTTGAGAGGCTGTTACGAAGGAACGAATGACCGGCATGACGTGGTAACGTTTCCGTGTTCAGATCGCACACGGCGCGGACCCGTTCCTGAAGAACCAGGAGGGGCAGACGGCGCTGGAGCTGGCGGGCGCGGACGACGTGCGCTCGCTGCTGCAGGACGCCATGACGGGCGCGGCGGGTGCGAGCGAGCCGCCCCCTCCTCCGCCTCCGCCGCCGCCTCGCCTGCCCGTGCGCCTGCCCTCCGGCGACACCGCGCCGCTCGCGCCGCCCGTGAGTACACGCATCTAAAGACGGCGCCCCTTGTGCCGCCCGTGAGTACACGCACCTAGAGACACGGCGCCCCTGGAGCCGCCCGTAAGTACATGCACCCAGAGACACGGCGCCCCTCGAGGCCCGTAAGTACATGCACCTAGAGACACGGCGCTCGTCGAGCCGCCCGTGAGTACATGGACCTAGAGACACGGCGCCCCTCGAGCTGCTCGTAAGTACATGCACCTAGAGACACGGCGCCCGTCGAGCCGCCCGTAAGTACATGCACCTAGAAACACGGCGCTCGTCGAGCCGCCCGTGAGTACATGCACCTAGAGACACGGCGCCCCTGGAGTCGCTCGTAAGTACATGCACCTAGAGACACGGCGCCCGTCGAGCCGCCCGTAAGTACATGCACCTAGAGACACGGCGCTCGTCGAGCCGCCCGTGAGTACATGCACCTAGAGACACGGCGCCCCTGGAGTCGCTCGTAAGTACATGCATCTAGAGACACGGCGCCCGTCGAGCCGCCCGTAAGTACATGCACCTAGAGACACGGCGCTCGTCGAGCCGCCCGTAAGTACATGCACCTAGAGACACGGCGCTCGTCGAGCCGCCCGTGAGTACATGCACCTAGAGACACGGCGCCCCTGGAGTCGCTCGTAAGTACATGCATCTAGAGACACGGCGCCCGTCGAGCCGCCCGTAAGTACATGCACCTAGAGACACGGCGCTCGCCGAGCCGCCCGTGAGTACATGCACCTAGAGATACGGCGCCCCTGGAGTCGCTCGTAAGTACATGCATCTAGAGACACGGCGCCCGTCGAGCCGCCCGTAAGTGCATGCACCTAGAGACACGGCGCTCGTCGAGCCGCCCGTAAGTACATGCACCTAGAGACACGGCGCTCGTCGAGCCGCCCGTGAGTACATGCACCTAGAGACACGGCGCCCCTGGAGTCGCTCGTAAGTACATGCATCTAGAGACACGGCGCTCGTCGAGCCGCCCGTAAGTACATGCACCTAGAGACACGGCGCCCCTCGAACCGCCCGTGTGTACATGCACCTAGAGACACGGCGCCCGTCGAGCCGCCCGTGAGTACATGCACCTAGAGACACGGCGCCCCTCGAGCCGCCCGTAAGTACATGCACCTATAAACACGGCGCCCGTCGAGCCGCCCGTGAGTACATACACCTAGAGACACGGCGCCCCTCGAGCCGCCCGTAAGTACATGCACCTATAAACACGGCGCCCGTCGAGCCGCCCGTGAGTACAGCACCTAGAGACACGGCGCCCCTCGAGCCGCCCGTAAGTACATGCACCTATAAACACGGCGCCCCTCGAGCCGCCCGTAAGTACATGCACCTATAAACACGGCGCCCGTCGAGCCGCTCGTAAGTACATGCACCTAGAGACACGGCGCCCGTCGAGCCGCCCGTAAGTACATGCACCTATAAACACGGCGCCCGTCGAGCCGCCCGTGAGTACATGCACCTAGAGACACGGCGCCCCTCGAGCCGCCCGTAAGTACATGCACCTATAAACACGGCGCCCGTCGAGCCGCACGTGAGTACATGCACCTAGAGACACGGCGCCCCTCGAGCCGCCCGTAAGTACATGCACCTATAAACACGGCGCCCGTCGAGCCGCCCGTGAGTACATGCACCTAGAGACACGGCGCCCCTCGAGCCGCCCGTAAGTACATGCACCTATAAACACGGCGCCCGTCGAGCCGCCCGTGAGTACATGCACCTAGAGACACGGCGCCTCTCGAGCCGCCCGTAAGTACATGCACCTATAAACACGGCGCCCGTCGAGCCGCCCGTAGTTGCACAGAGACACGGCGCCCCATGCGCCGCCCGTGTGGACACGCACCTAGGGGCACAGAGTACAATAAGCTCCTAGTGACGTCTGAGTAAGTGAGTGACTTAGTGAGTAGCCCACTTTAACATATGTGATTACACGCCCCTAGAGCTATAAATATTTGCCCCTAGTGACATTTGTGAATTCTCAGGTCTAGTGGCATCTGTAAGTACCCACCACTAATAACATTTGTAATTGTCACTAGTAAAATATGTGAGTACCTGCCCCTAATGACATCTGTGAGTACCCGCCCTTAGCAACATCTCTTGTAAATTAATTTATCGATAAACATTTTCAGGTGATGCCAAGCAATTACTGGGCAGAGGGTTCTCGCGGAAGTCTGGAAGACGCCGCGGGAAGACCAGCTTCCGCACTCTCCACCTCCGAATCCTTGCAGACCTTCTTGTCCAGGTATTGAAGGTTTGGATTAATTATAATCTAGTTTAAATCCCTAACTCATCATTATCAACATAATGCTGGACCAACAGGCGCAGTTGAAGTTGACAGTTAGAAAACAAGTTATTCTTTGCGCCCCGTATACTTTATAACCCTCGGTAAACCCTCGGTGTCAGGTCGAGGGCCCAGCCGGTGCGGGACTCTATCCCTCAGGGGTCCGTACTCGGATGTGTCCTCTTCCTTATTTACACCAATGACCTCCCCATGATTATTGATGAGCTTTGTGTGATGTTTGCCGACGATTTTTCCGTTGTGTTCCTTTATATCAATGGTACCAAACTTAATGAAAGAATCGACATAATTATAAATAAAGTAAAACTATTGCTAAGCGATCATAATTTAGAAGTCAATTTCAAAAAAACTAAACTAATACAATTCAGACCACGACAAAAACATGAACTAGAGATAAATTATACATATAATCAAACAAAATTAGAATGTGTTCAAAATTTTTCTTTGCTGGGTATAAATATAGTTTCGAATGTTAATTTTAAATCACATATTCAAAAAAATAAGTTAAAATTATCACAATTCATATATGCTTTAAGAGAATTAAAAAAATATACAAATTTAAAAACGGCAGACAGCCTATCACGCCTACGCTCAAGCGTGGCTAAACTACGGCGTCATACTATGGGGCAACAATGTAGAATCACACGAACTTTTTTATTTTACAAAAAAAATGTATATGCGTACTTGCAAATATCAAACAAAGAGAAAGCTGCAAACCTCACTTTCAAAGTCTCGAAATTCTAATATTACCGTGCCTATATATATTAGAAATAGGTAAATTTGTAAAAAGACACCCAAGTTTTTACACCAAAAACATAGACGCGCCCCGACACAACGTACCTCGCTATAAGAATACCTTTTGCAACCAAAATCTAAATTAAAATTACACAGTACAGGTCCTTACTCGATGTCAATAAAAATTTATAATAAATTGCCGGAATACATAAAAGCCGAAACAAGTTAGTTACAGCCTATATACGTCCCACTGCTGGGCACAGGCCTCCTCTCATTTCTGAGAGGGTAAGAAAGTGTCCCCCGCGCTGCCCCAATGCGTGTCGGCGGACTTCACAAGTCTTCGAAATTTTTTTTTCTTATTTCTCAGACATGCAGGTTTCCTCACGATGTTTTCCTTTACCGCCGAGCACGTGGTAAATTAGAACTTAAAATTGCAATTAACAATTTCATACAAACACGAAACAAAATATTAATAAATTCATAAGATCTTTAAATGAGATACTTATTAAAAAAAGTTATTATTCAATTAATGAATACATTGAGGAAAAGAATTTTTAAGTGTCTGCCCCTCTCCTGTTCATTGCTATGCCATTCGAGGTGCACGTGATTGTTAGAACTTGCATGTTTTGTTTAGTCTCTAAGTCACATGTAACGCAGTTTGTGAATAAATAAATAAATAAATAACGTTATTAAAATTTTATGTTTTAATTGTCCCCTTGTATCCAGGATTGGTCTGGAGCAGTTAGGTCCAGCGCTGGAACGGGAGCAGATCTCCGTGGACATCCTGTCGGAGATGTCGCACGAGGACTTGCGCGCTGTTGGTGTCGCCGCGTACGGACACCGGCATAGACTCATCAAGGCTGCGAGACAAAGTCTACAAGCGCAGTCAGGTTTGGATGAGCAACTTTAAACCCAAAGACATACACATTCGTATTCCATTACCCATTGCAGCGTATAAAAGTCCACTGTTGAACATAGCTCTCCCCCGTAGATACCCTCATTAGGGGGGATATTGCCATAGTTGCCACGCTTGGCGGGCGGGTTTTTTTAATTTTGATTGATTCAGCTGTTATCAGGAAGATGTTACTGCTCAGTACCCATCTCCTGTTCAAATTTCTCTTTGTTACCCCTTACGACATCAACGAGATGATATGCGGTAGTAGATATTCTTATACCGCCACACTTAAATATATATATATATATATATATATATATATATATATATATATATATATAAAATAAAACATCAGTTAACAAATACAAGTAATTTTACATTTTTCTCTTTGCAAATAATTAATAAATAATTCTAAACGCAACCTAAATATTGATTCTACGACTATGTCTACTATTACAACTTCCCCATTTTTAGGGGAAAACGTCATTTACTTGCAAACATTACTCAGTTGCTTGTGTGCGTGTACGCAAACGTAATTATAGGCCGCTTATGCACATGGAGTGCGTTGTTACTTCAACTTTGAACGGAATTTTGAATTACACTATAACTCTAAGTCTAATTACTCTATGTTAGAATATATCTATGGACCTCACGAATTATCTCTGCAGGCAATTTTCCACTGACTGCCTCGTCACGATGTCTCTGACAGAGGAAAACAAATCGCGAGTTGGGCAGCAGTGCTTCCCTAATAACGACTAAAAATAAAAACTGCTGTTGCCAACTCGCTTGCCAAACACGGCAACCATGCCAAATATCCCTCTTATGAGGCAGTCTATGTGGGAGGCCTATGTTTAGCGGTGGACCTCAATAGACTGTAACGGTAACGGTGGTGGTGTTGGGTGTGGGCAGAGTGGTACGGCGGCACGACGCTGGTGGAGATGTCTGCGGAGGAGTGCGGCGGGGGCGAGTTCTCGCTGGTGGAGCGTGAGCTGCAGGCCTCCGTACGCGCGCACCGCGACCAGGCCGGCGGACACTTCTCCCGGTACCGCGTGCTCAGGGTGAGTGCCAGCTCTCACACATTTTTTTATAGAACAACGGTGACAAACGAGCACACAGTCCACCTGATGGTAAGTGTATGCTGAGGCCCGTAGGCGTAGCGGCTTAATGCTGCTGTTTCACGCCGGCTATTTCACGGAGACCATTTTTACTGGAAACGAAGGATTCCATCTTAGTAATGGAGGATAGATGTAGATGTCTATGGGCTGCAGCAACCACTTACCATCAGGTGGACTGTGTGCTCGTTTGTCACCCTATCCTATACAAAAAAATACATTTATGTGTAGAATAAAATATAAAATAATTTTTAAACTTGTTACAATATTAAAATAAAAAAAAGCTCAACAATTATCCTATTCCTGATGCTCAGCGTTCGCAGCATTCTCTCGAAGCCTAGTTTTCTGAAGGTTTCACTCCTACCGCGTGTGATCTGCCCTCATGTTTTTTTTAAATCTTCTTCTACCACAATCCTCTCGTAAAGTAATTTTTCAAAGGGCAAATATAAAAGAATTCCCTTAATGTTCATAAATGGTGATGCGCTCAGTGAGTGCTGGTGATAGTGAAACGAGATTCTGCATAATAAGAGCTCAATCAATCCAAATATCAGGTAATCAAATATATTTGATAATGATTTCTTATGTTTATGCGAACGCAACACATTTAAATAAAACTAAGTTTTACGGATTTTATCACGTATATTGACTTATTTTGAATTTCCGACGTTTCGAGCACTTTACAACACCCATGGCCACGGGGGGACTAAGGTGTTCAAAGACCCAATGTCATAGTTAATCGGAATCGAGGATTTAAATAAGTTATTATACGCGATAAAATCCGTAAAAAGTTTCATATAAATGTCACTTATTAAGACTGATTGTTTTGACGTCTCGCAGCATAGAATACTATTTACTTATTTATTACATACATAATAGAACGGGGGAGTGGGCGGAGCCCGTGTATATACTATAATGTCACGAACACGTCAATTCACACGTATTTGATAAAAAAATGTCAACACTACATGTATTTTGACGTTACAATCGTTTCCATATTTCGCATGCAAATTATTTAGAAAATGCCAAATTGCACGCTATTTACAAATAAATATGTATTAAAATCCGTCTGTCAACACAGCGAATCGGGTTTGTAGTAGTTATTAACTGATAATACGACGTAATTGCTTGTATGTGTGCTCCCGGCGACGCCTATCCTCTTACAAATAAGGTTGACAGCTATTCTATTGTGTATTATAGTATTCTATGTCTCGCACCATAGGCAACTTTCAAAAAGAAACCTGTAGAAGTTCACACTTGGCAAACTGTTTGGACCAGACGTCTTGCCCCTGCGACCTTGTGACCGTTACCAGCAAATAAATCAGGCGGAGTTAGTCAAGTCGGATTTTACGATCTTTACCGCTAGTACAAATTTATATACAAACGAATGAAATCACCCGATGTTTACTTTATCACTGAACTGAAGTGTTCGACGCCCCATGTCATAGTTTCTACAACCTTCATTTTAAAATTAAATTTTGTAATAATTTCTTATATTTACGCGAACATTACATACTAAATAGAATTATTTTATACGGATTCTATCGCGTTTAATGTAAACAGGACCACCTTAAGATTAAAATTTTTGATATGAATGTAACTGGTTAACTATGACATTGAGACGACGAACACCTCGCCCTCCCCTCACCGTGGCCATGGATTCTGTAAAGTACACGAAACGTCAGGAATTAAAAATAAGTAAGTTCAACACGATAAAATCCGTAAAAATAGTTTTATTCATTATTAATTTTTGTTCCGACTCACGCAGAATGAGCTTGGAGCTTGTAGTATCTAATTTTATTAATTATGTTATCCCAAGGAAACGATTACACTCAGCCAGTCGTCTCTATTGAAATTGGAATGTTTTTTTTTTTAATTTCAATAGCCTCGTCATCATCCTTGGAATAAATCGGAGTTCTTTAGCGAGGATTTGTGGTCTATCAAATCTGATGTAGTGACAGGGGCGACCCTGTAAGTGTTCACAGACTGCAGACTTCCCGGAGCGTCGATTCTTAGTAGTCTCTCATCCATCTATGTATTATCAGTGGCGAAGCCTCCATACAAGCCCAGAAGCCCGGCTTGCCTTATCAAGCTGAATCAATCAATAATATTAAGTAATAAAATAACTCTTAAACTGTTTCAAACTATTTCAAATTTCCCGCGCATTCTGTTCGACCTCGTAGCCTTAGGAATACTGCTGTCATACATATAAGGAGAGTTGAATTTAGCCATTGGTTGTCTCCCTCGCAGACGTGGGCTTTTTACCGGGCTTTCGAGAAGGCGGTCGCTCCCTTTCTAACTTGTGGCAAAATGTTCAATAATGAAACATAACTACGATTGTATAAATAGCAATTCGTGTGGAGATAAAAGCTTTTTAGTGACCATCAATTTTTTCCTCAGAGCGGGACGCCTTTGAAATTATTATAGTTTTAACACTTTTGACTGCCTTCTTGGTCTAATGGTCGTAAACGCAATTGCTGATCATGTGGTCCCAAGTTCGAAACCTGAGTTGGGTCAAGAATCATTTATTGGGTTTTTCTATCACAAAATTCTCAGTAGCAGTAGTATTACACTTGGGCAATATAATCCAGATGCGCAGATGGCTATTTTCTGTTGAGAATGGCCTTGTTACCAAAATTCAATCTGAAGTCCTTTAATATAGGTTTATAAATAAAACACATAGTTGTTTGAATCTTTTAATGATCTAAAGTAAATTCTAAACATCAAATAAATACTAATTGGAAATAACTTACGTTATTTTGTGATTTATTGTAGATTAATTAAAAATTATCACTTCGTAACTTTAAATTTAAAAGTGTAGTTATATATTTTTTATATATATTTAATAACTCAATACTTATATTACCATATGAGTTAAAAATATCATTTTGAACTGCAGCACAAAATATGAGATTCCTAGGTATAAGTTTAATTTTATAGCAAATAATTGTTACAATCTTTTTTTTTAAATGTGAAGCCCAAATTTTAACTTAATAAATTAAATGAATACATCATGTATTGTGGTTTTTAAAAAATATTTCCTTTAGCCTTCAGTATATAAAATTTTAATAACGCCATCTACTTAATTTTATAGGTGAAGTCATTTTATTATTTATATTTTGTTCACTCTAATAACATAGTTGCCACGTTGGCGGGTTGCCAACCGCGGTTTTTTATTTTAAGTCATTATTATTATTTAAGTTATTAGGAAATCTCCTGATTTGTTCCCCTCTGTCGCCTCTTACGACTCCCACGGGATGATGTGCGGTAGTGGGATATTCCTACAAGATGTTCGCGTAAACATAATAATTCATTCATCATCATTATTGTGGCATTTATTTTCAGATACAAAAGATAGTGAACGGCCGTCTCTGGGAGCGCTACCAGCACAGAAGAAAAGAAGTGAGCGAAGAGGCTGGCGCGCCAAACGAACGTATGCTCTTCCACGGGTCCCCATTCATCAACGCCATCGTGCAGAAGGGCTTCGATGAGAGACACGCCTATATAGGTAAGACCTGATTGACTATATAGTGCATAGTAGGTAAGAGATGATGAGGTCGAATCAGTCATACTTACTACGATTCTGTGTGACAATGTACATCTATCATCGATTAAGAATCAAAATGCAGATGCGTTGTCACCCCTGAGGACTAATATGGAATGCCTCAATACCAGTTAAAAGGTTCTCCGGCTCTCTACACTCACCAAACAAAAGCGGCCTTAAGTATTCTGTGAGAGCGTGGCCCTTCCCCGGTCGAGCCGACCCATTCGTGCTGCAACCATTATATAGCTGCAGCGTGGCTCTACCACGTATAAAATTTAACCTTTCTTATAAAATTACTTCTCCGCCATGAAATCTGTCAAATATTATTTCTGTTTTCTAGGCGGTATGTTCGGGGCCGGTATATACTTTGCGGAGCACTCGTCGAAGAGCAACCAGTACGTGTACGGCTTCGGCGGCGGATCCGGATGTCCCACGCACAAGGACCGCAGCTGTTACCTTTGCCACAGGTATACGTGCTCCTCTTGTTCTTTCTCCTCTCTTCTTTCATCATCATCATCATCAACCCTTCACAAGTCCACTGCTGAACATAGGCCTCCCCCAAGGAATACCATAAAGCACGGTCCTGAGTCAACTACATCCATCGACTTTCTGCATCTCTCACCAGGTCGATACTCCATCGTCGAACGTCAACTATGTCACTGCGAAACCTTTTTACGTAGGCCTTTCTTCTTTACTCTAAAAAAAAGCTTCCCTCACACTAGGCTTTTCTCACACTAGAAATTACTCCTGCGTACGGGATATCTTACTTAGTTTGAGGGACACCTCCCATAAATATATCTATAGATAGTGCACGCAATTCGAACCAGGTAAGATACACCATTTTTTTATATTTCGCGGATCGTAGCTAATTTATTTTTAACATCTTTGACAAACAAGTTTGTTTCCCGCAGACAAATGCTTCTCTGCCGCGTGACTCTCGGGCGAGCATTTCAACTGGCGAGCGCCATGAAGATGGCTCACGCACCTCCCGGCCACCACAGTGTAGCCGGCCGCCCAAGCCACGGCGGCCTCTGCTTCCCCGAGTATGTGGTCTACCGTGGTGAACAGGCAAGTCGACTACTTTTTGCTCTCTACTCTCCTTGTGCACTCTAACATCATATTACTATGTGATCTGTATTCTACTCTGTTCACTCAATCAGCATGTTACTCTGTGCTTTTTACTCTACTCTGTGCACTCTAGCAACATATTACTCTGTGCTCTGTATTCTACTCTGTTTACTTTAGTATATTAATCTATGTTCTGTACTCTACTCTGTTCATTCTAACAACGTATTACTCTGTGCTCTGTACTCTACTCTGTTCACTGTTACAACATCTTACACTGTGTACTGTACTTTACTCTGTGTCCTGTACTCTACTGTGATATTAATTAATATAGTTTAGTCGGTAATTTGATCACCAGCGAATTGCAGCGCCTGTATAATAATAATAAAAATGAAGACAAAATCTGGACATATCTCACGAGGTGACGGCCACGTGGCAGGAATTATCCCAGTGTGTATTTGCTTCTGCGAACGGGCTAATCCCGATCAGCCTCACGGATTATCTGAGGCGACTGGGACTCTTTGACGGACCTCTTCTAGATCGGAGTAACGGCGCAGTTTATCTTAGTCCTCAGGCGTTATAACGCATCTGCATTTATATTCTATGATGAGATGTACATAGATGATTATGGGCCACAGCATCCACCTACCAGCAAGTGAACTCGTGTACTCATTTTTATTAAAAAACGTTACCCCACACTACGATTTTTCCTGTACCGTGGGTGCAGTTTACATACATAAATTTCACAAGGACACACATCCGGACCCGGCACAATTCATTGTAGGCCATACAAACACTTGTTCTGTGCGGGATACAAACCCGCGGAACTAAGATGGAATGTCTCGTATCCAGTAAAAAGAGTCTCCAGTTCTTTAAACTCACCATACGAAACACAGCAGCGTTAAGCTGCTATTTTACGCTGGTATTCTGTGAGAGCGTGGTCCTTTCCCGGTCAAGTCGACCCATTTGTGCTTCAAACTATTATAAAGCTGCAGCGTAGCTCTATCACGTCATACCAACCACGTAATACCAACTTACACGCGATACAAACTTAGTGACTAATTTAATGATCTAAAATATTTTTTCCTTCACAGGCCTATCCCGAATACCTGATCACGTACCAGATTGTGAACGACGAAACAAATTCGGGGTCCGTTTAACGTTTGTACCGACTTTCAGTGCGGTATTACGAAAGACCGCTGTACAGTCGGCAAGTAAAGGTTTATCGAATGACTTCACTCAATCGGCGATAATTGTTCAATAAACAAGTTACAGATTAAAAATCGATGTTCTAAGTTTTATCTATGGTTGGTGTTTAAAAAATGAAATAGTGTGAATACGCCTCGAAATTGTATATTATTTTTATATTTCTAATATAAGGTCGAACTAAACTGAAAGGTTATCGTGTCCTTTGCCTTACTGATTTTTTTAAATGCTGTGACTTTTAAATGGCGACTAAAAAGATTTTTCTTTTTAATTAATTATTTCTGTCAATACAATTATTGTAAAATATTTTGTAAACTTTTTTAATCCGTTTTCATATAATTTGTCATTATTTATATTAGCGCAATTACTGTATTATATTGCATTGTTTTTATAATCTTCGTACTATGGGATTCAAATAAGAATAGGCTTGACCTGGCGCCATATTGTGACGTCATAGCATAACGTTCAATTCAGATCGGTTAGGTACGGTGAGAAAAACAGATATTTTTGAAATAATATTTATTTACAAATGAACCATCATGTACTGAAATACTAGATTCAGATTAATACTAATTAATCTGAATCTAGTATTTCAGTTTCGCTCCTCTCTGCATCACTGTCCGAGTAGTCATTATTGTCATCATTAAAAGAATAGAACATGGATTTATGTAGGTATTAAAATTTTCCACGGTGAACTAGTATCAATATTTTAAATTAATTAATAAAACTAATTATAATTTCAATAGATTTGATAGTATTAATAGATAAATGTATAAATGGAAGATTAATTTTCTTTGCAAGTCGTACTTTTCAAGTGACAGTTGACAGATCACGGTTATTCGAGGTCACTGACGTTCCCATTCTTATTTGTATCGCATTATAATAATAAACATTAACGTAATAGCGGGTCGACATGGCGCAGACTTTAGTTTGCAAGTCGTGTTTGTGCAGATTTCAGTTGGTAAGAAGACATATATTGGAGCATTTTTACCTGACTGTCCCAGCAGGGGGGTAATGTTTTTCATGTTTATGTATGTATGTATGTATGTCTATTTCTATAGCATGCTCTGTAGCCTAAACAGCTGGATTTTTTACGTATGAAAGCTGCGTCTTGGTTGACATACGGTAGTGTCACGGAAGTCACGTACGATATAATTCTTTTTTTTTTTGTAATTTTTAACGCATACTATTTTTTTAATTACTGTTTTAAATATCATTATTATTAAGTTTGTTGCAATTTCCGATAGTAAATCATCGCGTAAACACGCCTGTTTGCTCAAACTACGTGTGGATGCATGTTGTTCGAGCGACTTTTTGGTTGATGCGTTCACATTATGCATAGAAATTGTGAGCTACTGAACACCGAGTACAAAAGAAACATGTTCGCAGTACACACTCACGCGGTGGAAGTGAAACCTTTAGAAAACTAAACTTCAAGCCAATGAGACGAATGCAGAGAATTTGTAATAAAAATAAATCTATACAAATAAATAAAATTTAAGTGTCTGTTTGTAATGTCAAAATAACAGCTTTTTACTAAATGCATATACAAGCGTTATATGCGGTATTTATGACAAGAAAAATCAATTTTAAAAAAACTTTCTGTCCGTCTGTTTGTTCCGGCTAATTTCTGAAACGGCTGGACCAATTTTGGGACTTTCACTGACAGATAGCTGATGCTATAAGGAGTAACTTAGGCTACTCTTGTATTATAAAAAGAATTGGGGTTCCGCACAAAACAATCAAAATCCATGAAATCTAAACGCAATTTCTTCGTGGAAAAAGTATCAGGGAACAGCTAGATTGTCATAAACACTATACTGTATTCTATCTCATTCTCTCGCTGGCTAAATCCTGTACATGTATATGTTTATCTCTTTTTGGTGTAACTTTTTCGTTTCATCGAGTTTTAAATTACGATTCTAAATAAGTTTTAACTTCCAAAAACTACTGACTTATTTGTACCGAATGGACGATATAACTCTAGATTTTTGTCGCTTTTTCGTTTCATCGACTTTCAAATTACAACGATTCTAAAGAAGTTTTAAATTCCAAAAACAAGTGACTTGTTTGTACCGATGTAACTCACACGGATTTTTATCCGCACCGCTGTTTGTATAGCGTTTCTGTGTCGTGTTAACCCGCTGTAAGCATGTTCTCAATAAGAGCTAATAATTTACAGATGTCGCTAGTTGGACTGAGGTGAGAAGTTGCGTTTCAAATGGAAGTGTTTCGGTGCACAAAACAATGCGTCTATGGTTGCTCTTAAATTTATGCGCATTTTTAACTCATTTTTATTTTTATTTTCTTTTGCTTTTAGAAATATTCCTTAGTTTGGTCTACTTATTTTAATCAAATAATATTAATAAAATTATTATAAAATATAACTAATATTTCAGAAATAAACATTATAATTTATATTTTTCTAACAATTTATCTTCCCCACCATGAAATCTGTCAAATATTTCACCTCATTCCAAAGTGGCGCCCCCTTGTGTCAGAAAAAGTTGTGGATACGTCTGACGTTGTTTTATTGATTTTGATAATTGTTTTTTATCGAGTCAACATACTTTTCTACCATTTTTTTATATTATTATATGTATAATTATTTAAAAGGAGTTCGATGGTAATTCAACCGTCATTATAAAATCACATCGGGATCATCGGCTTATTAAACCTCCTTGCTGCTACATTTTAAGTTGTTTTTTTATTTTGATTTTATTTTAATTTTGGATATGTCCTATAATATTTAATAAATAAAGACATTTTCGTTAGTAATTGATAATTGCTCATTTTGATGTATGTAAATCTACAAATCATATGAAATATATATATCAATTATATTAATTTGAAAGTAAAATAGGATACGCTCAAGGAATATTCTTCTTAACAACATACGATTTCTCAATTGAAGATCAAGTTTGAATATAGAAAAAAACTTGAAAACTAAAAAGTGTGCAGTTCACACGAGAGTGAAGTGAAACCTTCAGAAAAGGAGATTGAGATAATAGGAAACACTGTACACTGTATTCCATCTCATTCTCTCGCAGGCTAAATCCTGTACATGTATATGTTTGTCTCTTTGTAGTGTCGCTTTTTCGTTTCATCGAGCTTCAAATCACAACGCTTCTAAAGAAGTTTTCACTACATTAAAATACTTAAATGATCAGAGCAACTATACAGGTCTATCCTATAGACATGAAAACAATAATATACTCCTCTACCTCGTAGTCCCATAGATTGCCTAATAGAAAGAGTTTGCCATAGTTGCCACGCATGACAGGCGGGTTAGCTCCCGCGATTTTATTTAGTTATTTTGATTTTGTATCAGGAAGATGCTGCTCCCCATCTCCTGTTTCAATTTCCCTCTGTCATCTGTCACCCAACGGGACGGGATGGAGAAGCGGGCATGGTTACACTGTCATTATGCGGTGTAAAAATCACAGTATTATAAATTGTATAAACTGGCCCGCATTCCGAAAATGAACGTTAGAAGTGATATTAAAATTATGTCATTGTGTAGCAAACGTTATGGATAAATTCTGCTATTTCTTAATTCGTCGCGTATAGTGTATCTTCATGACATGACGGCCTCACTCATTGGGTGCGTTTGGCAGAAAAAAGCGCTAGCAAGCGCTTGTAAGCAAAATGGCGATCGTAAGCGGTAAGCGCTGTCAAATCGTAAGTAGCTATTTTCCTCTAGGACACGAAGTTAGTTTTAACCGGGGAACCTAACCTAATTTAAATATATGTTGGTAAAGTATTCATATTAAAAACTTACCAATCATGAATTTTTAATAACATGTATATGTTTATTCATGTCATTATATTACTTAAAACTAATATTGCACAAAACAACTTATAAACTCTACTTCAAAACAAACAAATTAAATAAGCAAAATGGCGGATTGTGTCAGCGCTACTGAAGTAGCAATCGTGTCCTGGCCGAAAACTATTTCAGCGCTTGTAAGCGCTTGCTAGCGCTTTCGCTTTTTTCTGCAAACGCACCCATTAATTCGACTTCGATTTAAGAAATGCTTAAAGTTACTCTTTCTCTCTCTCTCTCTCCACTAAAAGACAATAGAAGGAGACCGAATACAGAAATAATTAACAAATAATCAACGATTATTAGTATAGCCGGCAAATGAAAGTTAATTATTTACTGGTGTATCTTTAACAAGAACTTTTACAAGTTCAATTTAGACGTCTTAATGTACAGTGAAAGGGACAATGGCGAAAAATTGTTAATGGAATTAAAAAAGAGTCTACTTATGTCACCGTTACAGATATCAATAAAATAATTTACTATGTTTTATCTCATCAAGCTTATGGCCTCTCCAAGTCTGAAAAAAAAAATCATACATGATTTCGAACTAAATTGATTAGTTGTTGTGGCAAATTGGTGGAATTATTAATTCACCTATCTCCATTAGAGATCATATCAATAAAATAATTAACTTTGTAAAATCTAATCAAGCTTATGACCTATCGAATTCTGGAAAAATCATCATATGTACATAGTTTTTCAAACTAAATTGATTAGTTGTAGGTAGTTGTTACGATTCGCCAATTAAGGCAGGCAAAGGTCTTATATCGTACAATCTAGTCTGATGTGAATTTTGTTCAAACTTGAGTATCTTTAATTCCTGCGGTAATATGACTGAAGAAAAATTATTCAGGATTTCAAACACTATATTTTTACATATATTTACATTTGTAGACGCAAAAAAATGTCAACAACGCCATTGCCCTTTAAGTACCTAAAAAGGATTTTAATAATGTAGCTATCCCTTTCTAATGTTGCCAACTCTATGGTGCTAGAAAGAGCACGTAGCTGATGTATAATTTATAATAAAATTATAATTAATGTTTAAGTTATGTTTAGTGAAGTGTTTGAAATAGTTTTCAAAGACAAAATCCAGTTTTGGCATACTGATAGTAAAGATGTTTTTGT